GGGGCAGAAATGAAAAGAGATAGCAAGAGATTTTAGCCACTTCTTTTTCCAAACCAAGATTTAGGGGAACCAAAACTTTGCCACCTTCATGACCTTCTGAAAATTGAACAGTCTTATTCACTAGTAAGACAAATCTAGTACCTGTGATCAGAGAGCTTTCACAGAAAATAAACTAGTCTTCTGAGGAAAATAAATCAAAGTTCCTCAACTCTATCAAACTGCACCAGATATAATAAATAATGTAACATGAATGGTGACATGGATTTTTTTTGTTTTGTTTTGTTTTAAGAAAAAGATAGTGTTTAAGTTGAACAAGTCCAACACAGAGTAAGTCTTCACTGCCCCAGTGTTATTTTGTCTTCTTCTGAAGTCCAGCATGGCACCCTCTATCTGTTCACCTGCTACTACTACTATAAGCTTCAGTGGAGAAACAGAAAACATCTCTGCCACTATTACTTGTGTGAATTTTGCAGACTAGCCAATATAACCAGATCTTCTGTTACTATTGCCTAGTAATGCCATCAGATCTCTAGAACCAAGTGTTAACTTATTTCTGGGTGAAATGAACAATAACAATTTACAATAAACTCCTTAGGCAGGCAGGAACCTTCAATCTCAGTGCCTAGATACACTACAGAGCATGTCAAAAATATTTTTAAATCAAAATTTAGACTCAAAACCACACTTCTGAATGTTATTCAGGACAGAAAACTATTGCAAAAAGGTCTGAAGTACTGCTTTTTCGATCTTCTTACAAAGTTATAGATAAAACACTTCTTTTAAAATCTTACCTGTACCTGCTGAACATCTTCTATGCATTGTTTCTCTGTTTCTGGGACAGTAGATTTCAACTCTGTATTTGAAAAGAAGATACAGATTTTTAAATTCTATATTAAAAAAATCATTGATCTTTTGAATACACATTAAGAATTTAATGAAAAAAAGGGTAAAGTTAAAAAGTAAACAATGTTAACTGTTCCACTTTACAAATTATCCATCTAAAATTAAGAGGTTATATGCATAAAGTCAGCCTGATGTCAATTTTCAATGTGTTATGACTCAACATCAAATGCTATTATCTTAAACTTGAAAGAAGTCCAATATTTATTGTCAGATTTCTAAGAAAAAAATAATTACTTGTGGCTTTATTATATGCACTCCACACAGAGTGAAGGGAAGGTTCTCATGATGGTGTTTCCCATCCAATCTCATTAAGAAGTATGTATGTTCTTAAGGTCCACAGATCGTATCTCTTCACAAAAGGCCAAAAGAACCAGTGAGCAGAATGACAACTGTTGACAGCTATGTTGTCTTTTTCATATCCTCCACTGGCCTTCCTCTGCTCTACCACCAAAATTTGAAATCTCCATGATGAGATAGTGATACAGATCTAGGCTCACATTTCAAAAGCATGCTTGAATACAATTGGCCTTACTACTGCAAATACATTTTGAGAAATCTCAATTTCATCCTAGGTTTATTATTCACTGCCAACCTCTCAGCCTTGCAAAGGAATGGTTTGGGACAGCAGATTTATTGAGAGTGTACAGTCAGAGCTTCGCCAAACTGGGGATATTCAAACTGAGGATATAAAACTAATTTTTCACCTTTGTACTGAGTTCCACACCCTCTCTTTTGGGCAAAGAACCAGCATTGATATGACTTTTGGAATTTTTACCATGTTATTTACAGTGAAAAATTTAGCAGCAGTACTTCATGATAGTTATATTTTCTTCAATTATTTTCTGCTTTGGAATAACTAATGAGAATCCTAATACATATCTAAGCACTCCTTCACTTAATTACTGTCTTTAAATAGAGAAAAAAATAATTTGTCCCAGAATGATGGTTTTAAACGAAACTGCAGATCTCCAGCTATCACTGTGACAATGAAAAATGAAATAGCAGTGGGACTACAAATATTTATCTGCATATTTTACCTGGAAAAAGAGCATCAAAACATAAGACACCCACCCAGCTAGATTTCTTTTCTTATTTTAAAACCTGGAAAACAATTATTCTATCTGAAAACATTATTCTTTGTGATTCCTGTTTTCATAAAAAAATATTTCAATTTAAGCCAAAAGAAATTATATTAAAAAACTTGATTGTGTTAATGTTTATTTCTGAGACACACATGTACTGTACATTCCTGCATTGTTTCAACAGTGCTGCATTTTGATTGGCTGCTGGATAAAATAAATAACAGATTTTGTGCTGGAAATGACACAAGCGTGTAACAACCCAAAACACATTCAGGACCCTCAAGTCTTACATTAAGTCATTGCAGACAATAACAAAGACTTCATTTTAATTTATTTATGGAAGAGAGAGAGTCTTGTAGTTAAAGCACAAATCTTGAAATAAAAGGTCTGGTTTCCATTCTGACCTTTCTACAGATGACTTCTCTGACCTTAAAGAACTCCTCTTTACCTCAGTTTCCTTACCTGATAGGAGATATCTAGAAAAAAAAGAGAAAAAAAAAAAAAACACAAACCACACCCAACCCATCACCTAAACCATGCAAAGATCTCTAATCAGCTTAATAGCTATTGATGATGATGCCTCTTTAACTGGTCATAGCCTAATTTTGTACACAGGACAAGAATAGAAATATTTTTCTTATACCTGCCCAGAGAACATGTGCATCTCACATCCTTCTTATATCTTTTAAGGGTACCACTATACAGCAGGCAAATCTGTTGACCATTTGCAGGGAGAGCGAAGTAGTTGTGGTCTAGAACCTCTGGATTCATAATTCCTAGACATTTGGCCTCCTCACAGCTTTCTGACAATCCCAGCTGTTGGGGAGGTGAGACATACAAGAGGGAAGTTTCATTGCCAGTGGCAGTTACACTGCAACACTACTCCTTGAAAAGTAACAGTCCTCAACTTTTTTTTTACTTTTTTGTTTACTAAACCAGCATTTCAAGACTTATCTGACATAACTGTTCCCAGTCATAGAAAGCTGGATGAGGATAGGCTGTCATTAACAGAAAATAACTCATCATCTCTCACTTTGACAAACTTTAGTATAGATAAATCATGCATTGCGGCTGACTTTCAGGTAAATGCATTTACTGAAGAAAATTCAGGATGCTACTAATGAATTAGACACTCCTCATTGCAGCCAAAAGAACCCCACCAAAATCAGTGAATGATTATTTTCTGGTAAAAGCTATTAATGTATCTTCCAAAGGAAGGGAAGAGTATTAACATTTTAAAACTAAGGAATTGTGAGAGACTTGTTTTAGAAATTATCTGGAATAAAACATTTTTGGATAACCCTACCTCAATTGATTTGCAAAACCAGGAAAACTTCACTAGTATTCAAGCATTATTGGTCTCCCTAGGGTCTGTTTACATGATTTTAGACCTCTGCATGGTTGGGAGAAACTTCAAAATGAATTGATCCTTGACCACACCAGGTTTTTTTCTTTGCTAATATTCTAGCACTAGACAAGACATGTACACACACAATTTAGCAATTAATGTTTCCTGTTATGTAAATTGGCACAAACAATTACTCCAAAATTCTTAAAGAAAATAGGAACGGGCTGGTCCTACATATTTGTCAATATTTAACAATTTGACAGAATTGTCTAGCTTATTTTTACTTCATACAGGTTTTGTTCTAAAAAGGGTTCTAAGCACAAGAAGAGTTCAGGGCGATACAAGCAGTTAATTTTAAAGTTAGTTTGTCAAAATTCACCAAATTCAATATACTTGCAGCAGACTAACAGGGTTTTACCTTTATCAAGCAAAACTGAAAAACCAAAACCAAACCCCACCATTAAAAAAAAAAAAAAAAGTTAAGGAAAGAAAAAAGAACAAAGTGGCATACAACAAATTAAACCTCCCCTTTAATGCAAAATAAACTCCCTCCCATTTTTCATAAAACAAAGCAAATAAATGTCTGGACAAACCTAGCTTTGTTAGAGAGACTAGCTTCAATTTCAGGGTGTAAACCCACACAGAGATTTAGTGTGTTGGGACTGTTTCATTTTTCAGAAGTTGTATAATCTTTGAATCTCTGCCCAGGTGGTTAGGACAGTCACGTGGGAAACAGGATGACTGGGTTCTATTACCTGAATACTTGCCTCTTCCTATATGTTAAGTGGAATAGCATCATCAGTAAAGCATTAAAATAATTGAATTTCAAATTCCTTGTTGTGTTTAGATTCAGGCAATGCGCTGGTCTGTGAGAATGGTAGAGTGAAATACTATGAGAAGTGACAGAAACAAATTTTGGGTATTCAGATGGAAAATTAGTGGCACATTCATTGATTTTATTGGTCATATTGACTCATTTTGTCCAAAAATTTTTCTGAATCCAGAACTGAAAAATGCTTTTGACATAAGTATCTGCTGACTTGAACCCAAATCCGTATTAGGTATTTCCAAACCTCAGCTTTTTACTAAATAGCCAACCTAAAAAAAACCCAAATCCCAAATCTCAAAACAAACTGAAAAATATCCCAACCAATCTGACAATAAACAACAGAAAAAGGCCTGACCACTAATAGCCCTTTCCTCACACCCAACAATGCTCCACATGGCATGGCGCCCACAGCAAAGCTATTTAATAGATACTATATTAAACAGATGAGTAACTGTTAATTTAGGAACAGATTACCTAAGATCTTGCAGAATTTCCTCTTGCTTTACTTAAAAACTTAAATGTCCTCATGCTAATACGTGTAAGTAACATAAAGAGTCTACATATAAAAATATCCTACTACATTTCTATCTGGATGAATAATTTTGACTAAAATGGATGATTTTGTTTATAAACTATTATCTCTAATGTTAATATTCTGTTTAATCTATACAGCAGTTATTATACATAATGCAAAATGCAGCTACTCTAAACACAGTAATTTAAACCCTTTAAAAAATGCTTACCCCCTCCACCTTTCAAAAAGATGCACATATATAAAATAATTTAGTTACAAATCTTGGGAAAGGTGTTCATCCTTCAGGCTTCACATGAAACATCACTTACCTGCAGGTTCTTTCACATGGCAAGCATGCAAACAATCAAACAAAAATTACTTATCTACCTGAATTTTATTCAGAACAGTTATAATTATTCCCTTTCTCTCGATGCCCTACACTGCAAAGTCACACACACACACACACAAAATCAAAATTTCAATAATATTTTTGTCAGCACCTCAATTAAATTTTGAGAACTATTTATGTTCCATTTAGAAATAGTTAATAACAGACAATTTTTCATTTTACTTCTAATTGTATTTTCTTAATATTATTGCAGGTTTTTTAGAGGGCAGTGACTGAGATAAGGAACAGCAAGTACTGTACACATTATATCCATGTAATAGGTATAATATTAAATAGAACAACATAAATGGAAACAAACAATATATACAAGGAATACATTTAAAAAAATATTAGTATTATCCACCTAGTATAAATACTTTTCCAAATTAGTAAAAATAGTAAAAATCTTTACTTTTCAAAATATTTAATGTAATCAATGTTCTTGTAGAATTTATAGAAAAAAAACCCTTTTAAACTTACACCAGCCTCTGCCAGACTAAAACTTCAACATAAAACAAGCAGAGAAACACAGCCTGTCCGCTTGGAGTACATGGCAATGAATTCTACTACCACATATGACAGCACTTTCATTGAATACAGCATAAAATAGTAGACCATTAATCAAAAACTGGACTTAGCCCAATAATCCAGTACTGCAGCCTTCCACACTCTCAATTGCATCAGTGAGATGGATGCAGAAATGTTTCCCCGACCTCTAATAGAGCTGCTTTGGTAAAAGCCACAGAATAAACAGAGTAATATAACAGTATTGCATTTTTGTTGGCATTACTTATTTTGCTTGTGAACACTGGAATAAGTGATACCAGCAAAAGTGAAGTGTTGCCATGATAAATGATGTCCATGCAAGGAATAATTTGCTCATGTTCCAGAGAACGTGGTAGAGTCCCAAAGAGAAGCAAATCTGAAACTAACTCCACCCAAAGCCTACAATACAAAGAAATCTGTTGAAATAACGACTCAAAAAAAAAAAAAAAAAAAAAAAAAAAAGGAGTGGTAGGAAATGGAAAATTTTAGAATACCCAGTGGCTCTCCATGGATGTCATGGGGATGAATGCAGCCTAAAAGTGTTGAGAGCCATTGAACACTAACTAATGCAAAGCTAAGCCTCCAAGAAACTGTGGTATTTGCCCATCAACACTACTAACAGAAAACAGGTTTAAAATTCTCATCTAAATTTCTTTGTCAGCTACAAGAGGCTTTGTTTTGTTTTGTTTTAATTCTCAGCTTAAACAAAGCTTTTAATGAGTATGCAGAAGATTTCAGAAATTTGACTGGTAACCTCACACATTTTAAGATAAACTGACTTTGTAAACAAGATCTCAATTTATTTTTGAGATACACTTTTCCTACCTCTCTGTCATCAGGGGACTGCTGAATCCACAAAGGAATACCTTACACCACTCTAAAAACTTTCAGTATACCATCACTGGACTTTTGAAGTTTTCCATATTTTTAAGAAGAGAAAAATACCCATATTTCACGGTTCTGAAGGTATGTAAACTGGAAAAAAACAAAGGTCATAACACCTGGTAAAATCCATTAGTCAGAAGATGCCAGGTGCACATCTTTGTTGTTAACAAAAAGCATGCATCTTTGCTGAATATTTTTTATTAGATTCATACTAGCTAACATTCTTTCTGATGCTAATCCAAGATCTTCAAAACCAGGTATTTGTTAGAAGTTAAGATATTAAGTTTATATCTTGGATTCTAAAAGACATCAGCTCCTCCCATGATATACATATATCTTGCCTGTGTCCAAGAACTATACCTTTGTCGGTAATTTTGAGTCTTTGTTCTTCATCTGGAGGTTTGGGTGGGGGCCACACAGATGGAATTCTCCTTGGAAAGCTTCCTTCAATGTAATCTGATGAATGTGTGGGTTGGCTAACTGCAGCAAAAAAAAAAAAAAAAAAAAAGAGAGAGGTTCATATAGAAGACAAGCTCAAAACATCAAAGTTTTTGTTTCCAACATAAATAGCTCAATATCCACCCCTACATCAAGGCAGACTTGTTTTTATGCTCTTCATCTCCTGACAAAGATTTAACATAAATCTATATTAAAAGAATTTAATGTTTTGGGTTTGGAATTATCACTGTTAACAATAGAAAATCTAATCTTTTTAGTTATCTACAGCACAACAATATGCTAGAATACAGTTCAGAACTTTTTTCAACATGAGAAACTCTTTGCCAGTTCTGTCCTTAGAAAGGTAATAGGTTCTGTCCATGACTACTTCTTCACATACGGCTAGTTTATAGGTAACAGAAAAGTGTTTCAGTCCACGCTCTATGTATTCTTTTTACACCAAATGTACAAGCAAGGAAAATAAGCAGGACTATTTCTGCATAAATTGATATATTTATTATTTGCAAACCTGTTTTTGTCATTTACCTCTCTGTATTCGTATAAAGGCAACTAAAAAGGTATGTTTGCTTTTAGAATAAAGTTTTAAAAAACCCAACCCTCAGCTGAAAGTATTCTCATTCCTCTAGGCTCAAACCAGATTATATCCTTATTACTCAATAGCTTTGAGTTTGATTCATTTATTAAAATAGGAGACATTCACACTGTCTGATGATAACTAGGACATTCAAGCCAACAGAAAGATTTTAGCTTATCAAAATTCAAGTTACTCTTATGACTCCCAGTATGCATCAACATGCACACGTTGTGATTAAATCTTTATAATACTGTAAACTCTATAGAGATCAATCATAGCAACTGCATGAGTATCCTAGTAAGTGATCTGGAAATATCAAAACATTGTAGTGCAAAATTGGAAAAAAGTAGTCAAGAAAAAGCAAGAAAATACAGTCACATCACACAGTAATATCTTCTTACCAAGATCATGTTCATTACACCTCATTCACATTATTGCCCAAGTAAAACACTGGTAATATTTATTTGTCCTACTGCAAGTTTCGTTTTTAGAATAAAACTTTTTTTTCTTTTTTATAATTTACACAGATAGTAAACATTGAAGAGACAGGCATGGGGAGGAACAAAAAAATTTAACTTTTTTTTTTTGATAATCATTATTCCATGTGACTAAGCTTCTACTTGCCTAAAAATAAGTTGTCACAAGATTGATAATATTTGATTGAGAGCAACTTAGAACAGAAAAATGCTGGTTATAAAATAAAAAGTTTTGTTTACACAGGGTGCCTCAGTCAGGGTCAAAGGAAGCTCATTAGACCTTTCCAGCACGAAAAGCATGGCAAAAATCCAGCCACATATGCAGACCTTAGATAAAGGTAAAAATAAATGGATGAAATGCTTAATACAAAATCACGTCAGTTCTTTTCTTTACATAGTCCTGAACTCTATGTTCCTTGAAAAGCCTGCAGTTTTTCCATTACTATGTTACTGCATTTGAAGATCCAAACAGACTTGATTAATGCACTACTTTTCAGTAACTTAGTACTTTCCCTTTCTCTAATTCCAGCTTTTTAGAGGATATGCATTTTTGAGTTTCTGCCTAAATTTCAGTTCTGTGGGACTAAAAGGGAGAGGAACAATCATACCTGTACATACTGTGTAAAGAAAAGGAAATGGTGCTGCATTTTGCTATTTGTCTTGTTTCTGCACCATCTAAATCTCAAAAACACAGAGAAAAATAGAACTCAAAAGAGTCATCAATGAAAATGAGAACAAATTTTTTTTCCCCACTTTACTACCTTACACAGTCCAGGGAACACAAGGAAGAACAAGCTCTACAGAGGGTTAGCTGATCCACTTTCAACAGGATTAGAGGTAGGGTTATAGGTCAATAAAACAGAAGAAGACAGGCTGTAGATAATATTGACATAGAATGAATGAGGTAGACAGACAGTCAAACTGTTACTGGACATGATATTTCACCATGCCAGTTCCTGAAAGATATATTACAATCATTTAATAACAAATTTTCAGAGTGTGATAACTCTATATGAATTTAAAATTATTAAAAAAAAATATCACAGTATGCCTCAGAATTATTGCACAGATGGGATACATTATGAGGGTAATAAAATATGAAGTACCTATGTTCTTGCTGATAGAATTTACAGCATATAAACTGTGGACAATTAAAAATTAAGACATCACAGAACTCCATACTTGACTTCTAAGCCAGCATGGGAGCTTTGTTTGTGAGTATAAATGACAATATTTTTTGTTTACGTTGGCTTTTGTTTTGAGATTTTTTTCATTCACTATTCAACGTAGAGCAGGATGATGAAATAGACTCATCATCTATTAGAAATTCACAGAGATAAATGTAAACTACCTTGAAAAGACTTGCACTACAATTAAAATGTATCCACCTTCAATATATAAACAAGGTATTTACAGCTACATTCACATAACTTGAAAATTTATAAACATAATTCAAAGTCAAACACTTAAAAGGGAAAAGATTAAGCCCATCTCCACTTCTGTGCCTTTCAAAAGAGATTAATCATTTGACTGTTCTAATTCCTGCTCAATGAAGATACTGTCCAAAATCTAATCCTTTTTACCTTTTGTCTTTAGCTCCTTGTTAAATACACTAACCCATCATATTTCTCTTTTTCCAAATCTGTTAATGCCATAAATCTGCATGATTATTAGAACATTCTGAGGAAAGATATATGCAGCCAATTCTATGATGTTGAAGTACTATTCAAGCAGGAGAAACAAAATAATAAAAATTTAAAAATCCAGATATGCTTTTATCATTAGAAATTGTAATACAAGCATCCAGAAGCCTGGATTTCCACATCTAGCTTTTACTCCTTCAAACTTTTCATTTCAGAGGCAATTTTTACTAGATATCATTGTAAGTACAGCTAGTGAATACCCTTACCGTGATCAAGCTTTGAATACATCTGGAATTTCCACTTCATTTTTCTCAGATTCCACTATTTAGTGTTTAAAGTACTTCTTTTAGGAAAAAAATAAAATAAAATAAAATCTATCCTTCTAATTAATAATCCCAGTCTTATTTATTTGGACTCATTTCTGGTCTGACATTGAAAGCTTAAAGCTGTCTGATCCAGTGCACTAAACATGACGTTAAGAAGAGTTCTCATTCCCACACATCCTTACACAGCACTTTCCACTGGTTCTTAAAACTGCAGAGCATTCGCACATGGGCGAGGCAAACTGCCTGCAGGATCTGATGGTACCTAATCAATAGACATTTTACCACTTATAGATGCTAGCATTTAGAATGGAGTCACAGAGTCAGGTCTGTAGTTTAACTCACTGTTCTCCCAGACAGCTCTCAGTAGGCACAAAGAATGACTTCTTGTAATAAATTTTCATTCTCAGGTACCACAGTGTTACATTACAGGTACATAATATATTAAATATTAATTGTGTTCCTTCACTTCTTGAGCTAAAGATATGGTTTTCTGCTAATCTTTAAAGATGGAAGCTAGTGCTGTGAGCTACTCAAAGTAAGGGCCTCTAGCAAATGACTCATAGAAAGAGGCTTGGATGCAGAACTAGGGCCATAAGCTAGACCCACAGTAAACATCTGAACGGATACTGATGAACCTTGATCTTTCAGAAAAGGGGTCACATGTTTCACACAGAGACACCAGGTTTGTTCCCCAGGCCACAGACTGAATTAGAGATCAGTATATTCCCCGACTAGCAATATAATGTACAATCTTGGATCTATGCTTTTGGCAGCTGTACTGCTCCTGAGGATATGTAAGTAATACAACCTTCTGTTCAATGCCACTTCAGTTTTTAATCGACTGTTTATCTGCTTCCAGTTCAAAGGACAAAGCCATTGTGAGAAATGCTTAAAAGAGATACAAGAGGTGGAGCTGAAATAACAGTAAATATATACACATCTGTCCAAACGGGTTGCAAAAGCATGAATTAGCAATGTGAGAATCAAGAAGAAAAAAAAAATCTGACCAGAAATGTTCAGCAGTACAGAAGCACGCTGCTGTCAGGAGTAGTCTCTGCTCTTCAGATCAGCACAGCAGTAGTTGGGGGAAGTGCGTTAGCAGTACCTCTAAACTTCCTTTCACTAGAGTGAATTGGTACTAACTTCACTGATGGCTCCAGTATTAAGCCATGATGGAATCAGGCCCTATCTTTCAGAGAAATTATTTTCAAATAGTAAGCTTGAACAATTTTTCACTAGAACCCCAAACATTCGAAGTTATCTTGAAGAGTGGTGTACAAAAGGGTTGCATGTCCACAGACAGGTATAAATGGGACAGGAATAAACACAGAGTGGTAGGTACAAGAAGATTCCTACTCATCAGATCAGTCTGGATGTGGACAGCTTTCCAATGAGAACAGCTGGAGGAGTGGGGAGAGGAAAAATTATAAAGGCATTTAAGGTAGAATTAGATAAACTCATAGAGGAATTATATTTTCTGGTATTTGGGATAAGCAGGGGCAAGACGCTATAACTTAGAAGGTGTTTTCCAGGCTAAGAGCTCTAAAGAGCTTGTTCTACATTTGTATATAACTGTTTGTCATTTAGACTGTTTCAAGTGCATGGAAGGAATTTTCTTTTTCCATTCAGGGATTTTAATCTTTCTAATATACTAAGTATACAATCTCTAAAATGAATGAAAGCAAATTGCACGTTCCCACTGCAAACAGTTAACTGGACAAGCAAGGTTTTAGTTCAAGAAATTAGAGCCGAACTACCTCAAAATGCTCTTATCAGCAGGAGACTGCTTTATTTTAAGCAGCTTTTAAAATGAATAAATCAATACTATCAAGAATGGGGAAAGTGCTTTACTTTTTGAGAAGTTCAGTAACAAAACTGTCTGACCACTGACAGAACCAGAACAGCGCTTACACATGGCTCTCAGCTTGTTTTGGCTGTATGAGTGAGCACAAATGCCTTCCAAGGTTGAAAACCAGCAAGTCAGTCATAATACTGTAATATATGGCTGA